TTTACCAGCATTTGTGCAGAATATTTTTTTATTTGGTATGTTTAGTATGATATATGTGTATTTATATGTCTAATTCAGTAGAATAAAAACTACTTAACAGGGTTGTGAAGAACTTGGCAAAACTTAGTAACTCTTGCAGTGGCAGGAAAAATGCAGTCTCTGTGTTTGTGAGTTTTGCTTTATATATGTTAAAGGTGCACTACACATTTCAACATAAGGGGACTGCCAAACAGCTAATAAAGCTGACCATTTAGACTTATGATGGAAGTAAATGTGTATGTTTCAGTGTTTGGCTTGAGTTTTAAATTAGAAGTTACTGCTCATCTCTGTATAAGGAGCAAAGATTGCCTTCAGTAAACCTTGTCAGGGAACCTACAAGTTACGTACAAACACATATAATGAAGTCCTGTCTGTTTTGGAACTACAACTTCAGGACGGCTAATTTTGAGTGGGGAAGCAGTGGTATGTGTATGCTTTTCCCTTGTATGTCTTCATACCTAGGTTTTCAAGGGTAAAATGCATCTGGAATCCTGGAGGGGAAAAGCAGCTGGGGTCAGTGGTAATATGGAACAGAAAAATGGCCAGCAGGGAAAAGGTTAAATATCCATTCTCCCAAGCTGCCTGCCCTCTACTCCAAATCACTTCCTCCTGAAGCCGTTTTTCCTTTTAAAAAAGGCTACCAGGGGTTTCAAAAAATGCACTTGTGTAACTTGCTGTAACTTCTAGTGATATTTCTGACTGCTACTTTAAAACAAGTAAAATAAGCCTTAATATTAAAAAAATGTATAGTGCACCTTTGACTGAGACATGAAAACCTTCTTAATAAGCAAGGTGACCATACTTTTTTCAGAGGGCAGGGTTTCTGATCTTAACTCATATCTCTCATATTTGAATAAATTACTGTTTTTAGATGCAAGTGAAATGTTCCTAATCTGCATTATGATTTGTAGAACATAAGTACAAAATAAATTCTATGCATATCATTCCTTGGAATTGACCTTTTTTCCCAAAGTAATTACAAAATCATTCTGAGTTTACTAGCAGCATGTCCACCACATTCTTGACATATGTGGCCATGAGACACTGGTAGAATTGATGGGATGTGGATGCAGGGGAAAAAGTAAAGTTGGATCTACACAGAAAATCAGTTTAGAAGGAGGAACTGGACAGAGACCTCACAAATGCTCAGATATTGAAAATTCAGTTTAAGCTTAGTATCGTTCTAGGTGGCTACATTGGGCGATAATTCTGTAGAAATAGCAGTACTACCTTGTTTTTCCCCCATGGTGATGAGACTATTCAACTGTCATATGAAACCATGGTTTAACAGTGGTTAACCACCTCTGAAACGTCTTTTGCCTTTAAAAGAAGTCTAGCTTGCCACCTAGTGGTGCATCACACTAAAAGAGCTAGAATATCTGACTGCCAGACAATCTTAGGCTCTCCTGGCTCTTCTACACAAAATGCTATACAGTTGCTGTTATTATTATTATTACGACTTGGGAATGTTGAGTAGTTGTATTCAACACTTGAAACCTGTTAATGCTGAACAACCTTTAGTCCCCAGAACACACCTTAAAAAAAGGCTGTAGGAACAGAGTGGCCACTGAAGTATGTCACACTGCACTTGTCTGTGGCTGATTACAAACTATGAGCTTGAAGTTTGAATTCTAGTGACAGTCCATTGAACTGAAATTGGTATTTTCAGTTTTCAAGGCATGAGCAAAATTATTCCTTTGGATATTATCAGCTTCACATCTTTTTTTCATCTGCATGTACTAAATTATATAATTACATGCTTCATACACTGAAGGGCCATTCTTCTTGTCCTACAACTATGTATTATAAAATAAGGTCATTTGTCGTGCCCTAAAAATTTGGTGTTCTGATACAGCTGTGTTAAAGCACTTTGCTTATATTCTGAATAGTAGTTTTAAATAATGTTGAGCATATATTCAGCACTGGGCTATTGCAGCACAGGTATTCGGGGCTTGGTGATTTGGAAAAGACTCACAGCAGGTTACACTCAGGGCTGTCTAGGGTTTGCACATCCTTAATTTTGGAAGTAAGCAGGGGAAAGTGTTTGCAGATGACTTATAAAGATGTGCTGACATAATGGGGTAGACCGCAAGAAGCACCAGAGAGAAATCTCATTTTATTTTGTTTTTACTTCTCATTCTTTTCCTGGATTTTCTGTAGCCCACAAGGGTCATGGATCTTGGTTTAAAATAAGAAAACTGGGAATAGCCACTTTAGGTTAGGAGGATTCAGTGCGGGCTAGAAATGCTCAAGATTCCCCAAGAAAAGCCTGTGCAGTTTCTTCCTGATGGAAAATAGAAAAGGCATGAATGGTTCCACCTGAGGAAGAAGGTAGGAATCTATAAACCGAAATATTGAGAGTAGCTTTTAGGCTTTCTGAATTTAAATATTTTAATTTATTTAATCCATTTATATTCTACCTTTCTCCCCGATGGTGACCCAACGTGGCTTACATCATTCTCCTCTTCTCCAATTCATTCTCACAACAACCCTGCAAGGTAGGTTAGGCTGAGTGTATGTGGTTGGCCCAAAATCACTCAGTGATATTCCACAGGAGAGTGGGAATCTGGGTCTCCCGGATACTAGTCCGACACGCTTAACCACAACACCATGGTCTATTCAAAACATATTTGTTGAAGTTGTGGCAGTTTTTAAAAGGGGGGGGGGATCCCCCCACAAGACTAACAGTGATGTCTTTGTGTATGAAGATGGGGGGTGGCGGGAATCCAACTTTGGGTGGCATTTTGGATTGCCAAAGCAACCCAAAATAGTGCCTGAAATCTGTGCTGCAAACAGAAGGTAAGTTTGGGAGACGGGAGAAGACAAGAGTAAGAGAGTGGAAGAAGTGGCTGAAGAGAGTAAAGACTGAGGGAGTGTAGGAGAAATTGAGCAGGCGGGCAAGCGATGAGGAAAGAAAAGTACAAGCTCTTTTCTCCATTTTATTGGCATCAGTATCTTTCCCTTTAGCTCTTTCCACCCACCTTTTCTGCCAATGTCAAACAACTTTTCGGCAGAGGTTTGCCAGAACCTTTTAACAACTGATTTGTTTGAGCAGGAGTAGGAGGCAATGGAGGCAAGAGAGGCAGAACTGACAGGGTCTGGCTGCTTAGTATGATTGAACTATAGCCATAAAGATACAATGACTAGCTTACCCAAAGCAGGCATTCCCAGAAAGGTGAAGCCCCAGCAAAGCAGAGAACTCGAGAGAGAAACTGATCCACGCAAGCACTACCTGCTCTTGGTGGGTTCCCTTTACAAACATTTTGACGTGGTGAAGCTGCTTCCAAAGCTGACACCTCTCTCTTGTCTCATATGCCTTTGTTCTCTCCTTATTTGGAAACTCTTCTCCTGTCTATCGTAGAGCATTCAACCTTCCTTAATGTGGAGAAATTCCCAAGGGCACAGGAATGCCTCTATTTCCTTTCACAGCCAACCCAGAAGCTTGCCTTCAACTTCTTCTTAAATCTTCCCAGATTTTAAAAATCCTAATGTTTTGTTTCTCTTATTTGCCTGGCTCTTATGAGCAGCCATCAGCATTTTAACTCATGCACAGGTCTTGGCTCTTCAGTTGTTCCCACTATTTACATGGGGTTCTTACTTTTGCCCAGTTTCCTGCTCCACATTTTCCTCTGTATCCTTTGTATCATTGTCTGAATGTCTACTTGGATTTCTGGCCAAGTCTTTCATCCTACTTCTAATCCTCAGGCCTGGATGTAGATGTGAGAACATCCTCATGTAGAAAAGGGATTGGAAGCATCTTCTACCACTGTCCTGTCATTTTCTTCACTAGGCCTCTCCCTGAAGTTCCAAGTTGCACGTTATAAACCTTCTGTGGGCATCAGGATTATCTGCATGAGTTGTAAGCTTTTGTTCTGTAACATCAGTATATCTAATTCTGAATTGGGTCATAGTGTGTGAAGACCAGCAAAATTGAGTTGTGGACAGATGGGAACCTGGGAGGTGGGCACAGTGCTCTCCAGCAAGCAACTGGGCCAGACTTTTCCGGGGAAACTGCCAAGTGGAGGGAAGGAAGGAAAGTAGAATGGAGGGAGGGAATAAAGGTAGTTTTGGCTGGTGGATGTTAGGGGGAGATGCTATGAGTGCTGCCAGGAAAAGAGAAAATAGTGGGGGTAGGGAGGAGATACAGGGAGAAACGAGATGCACTCTGAAAGTGGTTTCAGATCCCTCCCTCTTGTGCACTTCAGTAAATGCACCATTTCCTGTGTTGTTCCTCCCTCAATAAATTCTGATTATTCTGCTAAATTCCAGCCTCTGTTTATATTTTCAAGCCTACCTTGGACCTTCATCTGTTTGATTTCAAGATCTTGTAGAAGTGTGTAGTGGTCTTATGCCAGGCATTAAAACCTACACTTGCGGCTCCTTTAGGACAGGAATGAGAAGTGGCAAAAGAGACTCTTGTGCATACCCCCCCCCAAGCGGATCTGAACCCAAGGAGGAAGTGGGCCCCTTTCACATGGGCATGTGGCTAGCATACATGTGTCTTATTGAGTATACATCAGAACAAAATGGAGACGGAAGAAGTGCACCTATACCAGAGGAAGAGGAGGAGGATGGACAAATGGAAATGAAGCAAAGGGGAACGATTTCCATACTTGTTATCTGGTGTACAGTTCTCCAACTTATATGAGCAGACTGTAGGTACGCAAGGATCCAACTAATCACATTCTCTCTCCACCCATCCACCCAATTTGTTCTTCTTGAATATCATGATAACCTGAGATGTTTGAAAAACAATTTGCTATAATTCATAAGGGGCAGTATTTCAAAGATCAATCAGGTACCCCATTACTCTGCAAGCAAGTGAGCCTTAAAAGATCTTTTACAATCGAGGCAAATCATGTGAACATCTTTAGAGACTGCTAGGAGGAAAATCAGCTAACTGGCCCATACTAGATTTCTTCATTTTATTTTTATTTTGACAACAGAAAAAAATAATGCATTAACTGGCTTGCCTATAGTTCCACGAATGTATTTGCAAGACAACAGATAAAAGTTTACAAACTGTGATTCATTACACTTAAAACAGAATTGTACTTTGCCATTCTCTATGACTACAGGAAAGGAGGGCTTCCCCTACCCTCTTATTTGCATGATGCTAAGGGAGGGGGGAGAGGATATTTTGCAGGCAAGAGGGGTGCTTAACGCTTCTTCTGCCTAAGAATTCTATCAGGCAAAAGTACATTTCCCAGGTCATTTTTATTTTTGTCCTCAACCATTCTTCAAACGCAGCATTGCTCCAAAGTAGGGGCACTTGTTGCCCTATAACCCACCAGTTCTTCCTGGTAAGCACCCCATTTGGATTTTGAAAAACACATTTCTCAAAATATGATCTAGCACTGCCCTCCAGCTGGCTGGCTATAGCAACCAGGGGCTTGTTCATTCTTAACGAGGGGATGCAATATTCTGGACCTACCATTACTTCTAAGCTCTAGCTGAAACGCTGGGAACTGACATGCAGCAGATACTCTTCCTACATTAATTTTCTTCACAGCATTCTCACAGGGCCTTTGTGAGACTCCCCCACCCTTTTGCTTCATTATGAAAACAGCCTCCTGAATTAGAATCTGAGGCTGAGTTCCAAAAAGACACAGCTGCCCTCTGCCAAGAATGGCAATCCATTTTTCCTTTCAGCTACAGCCCTTTGTGTCTTATAGAATGCTGCCCTGAAGGGTCACTTGACCTTCAGGAGTGACTTTCTGAACTGTGTATGGGGGTGGCACTGAAACACCCTGATGTTTGCACAAGGAAAACTCTGCTCAGTTCTGTGAGTCTAGCACAAAGCAGAAAGAAGCCTTGTAAATGGGATATATTAGAAATAACCTTATTTTCATGCACTCTTGATCTCTTTTCCTACTACTTCATGGCTTGAGTGGGCAAGGGAAATATCAGATTTACTGTTGTCCTTGTTGCATCAGTGTCCTATTGGAATGAGACTTTGTGGTAACTCATGTAAGCAGTGTTTACTCTGGCGTAGTTTTATCTTGTTACTGGCAGTAGGTTTACTCCCCCAGCAAACACTCTTAAGAACTAATTTGGCCACAATTATAATCTACCAAAGCCTCACATACACATCAGCTTCATGTTCATTTAGCAAATACTGCTTTTTAAAGACGTATTCTCTTAAGACAGTTTGACGCTACATAAAATGCTAGCACCATGTGAAGAGCTGAGGTGAAATATCAAAATGGAACCTGTAATTATAGGACAACTTGAAGATTGGAAGAAAGATGTTCTAAACCACTCATTACCTGGTTTTCTCAAGTTGCCAAAACTCTTATCTACTTGTTAGGCACATATCCTTGGTGTTTAAAAAAAATGTGACTAAATGCTAAGTGATCAAGAACAAGGTTAAGGAAAGCTACACGGTTGTTCTAAGTTTCTTGATCTTTGCACTTGACACTGGGACACTAAAGGAAGCAGCTTGCCCTCCTGGTGGAGTCTCTGAGTATCTGTAGCCCCTCCAACAAAAGTTCCATTGATAAATATTCGGGGAACCTGTTGAGGATTAAAAATAAATGATGTTATTTCTTGCAAGACTACAATGTACATTCCCTCTATGTTATAGTGTTAACACATCCTGAACTGTTCCAAATAGCTGTTCATATCTATTGGGGAAAATGGCTCACAGGTACAGATTTACAGCTTGGAGGCCAAAAAGGTAATGTTAAAGTGACGAGGATTTTCCTTATTATCCAATAGCAACATCCTGCACAAGAGTCCAACTAGCCGAACATGCTGTTCTAACTCATCTTCCAGATTAAGTGCAACCAGATTAAGTGCAACCAACAGATGTTGGTTATTTCATAATTGGAACTGAAATTACAAAGTTCTACACCAAGATTACTCAAATCATGTATTCAATAAACCATACTGAAATAGTTCTAATTTGCTTACTATGCATAAACTTTTGAACAAAGACTGAAAACTCCTCACAACAGGGATGCCCCACAATTCCAGAACACTCTAGCTCTTGCAAGATTGCTTGACTCTCTTCATTGCTTTTTTACAAATATGACGACTAGACACCTCTTTGTAACAGAGGACAGGAAAACATCTATGCTCAAGAATCCAGGTTTTGTGCCCACATCAGAAAATGTTACTGTCATAACAGAAGACTAGATTTTACTATTAGCGAATGGTGGTCTCATTAGAGATCCCTTTTTTCCTTTGGGCTCAGATACGCAAAGCATGGGGCCTTTGTTAACCCCACTTGCTTTAAAGAGAACTGGACTATGAAAGTTAGTTAAGTTCCTATGATAAGTGACCAAACTGGGAAGAAAGTACTCACTGTCCTGCCACCAGTCATTCGATGAAGAACATCTTGAAATTGTTTTCCGTTTTCATACGTGTCTAGCTCTATGGCTTTGTAGTTTACATTCATATCCCGAAATAATTTTTTTGCCATGTTGCAATAGGAACAAGTTGTCTTTGAGAAGATCACTACACAGTTGTCCAAGATAGCTTCCTGTGTGTGTTTAAATAACAACTTTAATGGTGATGCTCTATATGTAATGAAAGTTTTAAATGGGTTTACAGTACAATCTTAAGAATACTTTCCGGGGAGTAATTCTAACTGAATAGACCTGAGTAGGATTCTAAGAAGACCTGCTTATGATTGCCTTCTTAATATAGTTGCTATTAGAACTGAAACTAAATGTTCAAGTTTTTTCCCCTCAACCCAAACTGTAAATTTAAGATGTTGTTTGGATAAATGTTATCAACATTATTTTTAAAAAAACCAAATGTTAACTGAAGTATTTTATTCTAACCCTCACAGATGTTGTTTACTAGAAGAGCAGGGTTAAAACCCCTCAAAAACCTGTGGGAGAACAGCCTCTGTTATCAATTCCAAAAATATATCCTCACCCCTTTCTTTAGCACCTCAGAATCACTATTCTATGCCTAATACAGAGAAAAATTGGTTTTAAGGCACCACAGATATGTATTCTATGTATTTCATATGCAAAGCACAGCATAACATCTGCTTGGCTGCATTCTTTGACACTATTGTATGTAATCATAATGTAAAGCGGGAGTTCTAATTGAGCAATAGGAATGTCTAAATCAACGTATAACTGACATGTTTGTGTTGGATCTTCTGCGCACACAAATCATAGTATAAGTCCTGAGAAAAATAAGGCATACTTCTGCTAAAGTTTAGGATTACTCCCAGTTAATCTATTCACAATGCCATCCTAAACAGAGTTATATTCTCAGTCTGCTGAAGTCAATGGACTTAGAGGAGTACAAGAAATGTGCTGTTATTTTACTTAGAAAAATTTGACCACTTTCCCACTAAGCTCTGTCCATAGGAGGAGGAGGAGGAGGTGAGGAGAAGGAGATTGGATTTATACCCCGCCCTTCACTTGGGAGTCTCAGAGCGGCTTACAAACTCCTTTCCCTTCCCCTCCCCACAACAGACACCCTGTGAGGTGGGTGGGGCTGAGAGAACTCTGACAGAAACTGCTCTTTTTCAAGGACAGCTGTGCCAGAGCTTGCGACTGACCCAAGGTCACATCAGCAGGTGTAAGTGGAGGAGTGGGGAATCAAACCCGGTTCTCCCAGATTAGAGTCCATACACTTAACCACTACACCAAACTGGAGCTTACGATAAAATCAAAATAAAGAAATAGATACACACACTAAATAGAACAGCAACAAGTAATAAAACAAGTGTACAGAAAAATCAAAAACAATTAGAAGATCAGGAAGTATTCAGTAAATAATATCAGTAAACAATTAGTAAACATTCAGAACAGAGCAAAGGTACAGATCAACCACTAAAATCACTGGGAAATAAAAGCTATTGACTTGGAATTTCGTGAATCAGTGAAGGAGGGCATTCCATTTATTGAGCCGCCACTGAAAAGGTCCTCTCTCTGGTCACCAATTACTTAATCTCAGATGACAGTGAAACCTAGGGAACAACCTCTGATGCTTCTTTCATAATTTTTCATTATGTCCTGTCATTTTAATCAATGGGAAATGCAAAAGCACTGTTTTTAAAAGTTTAAAACAAAACCCAAATACATTTTGTGAAGGACTAGAGAGAACAACAGGGGTTGCAGTGGCTCAGAGGTTAAGATGCTTTTAGTCATGCCGGCCACATGACCACGGAAATGTCTATGAAGAGTGCTGGCTCTTTGGCTTGGAAACGGAGATGAGCACTGCTCCCTAGAGTCGGATTCAACTAGCTTTCAAACAAGGAAAACCTTTACATTTAGAGAGAACAACAGATTAACGTTTAAGCTAAGACCTGTTTTTACTCACCTGTATTTGGTTAGCAGTGGCAACATTAGATAAGTTTGTTGTAGCAGATGTACTGTTCCCCATTCTAAAATAAAGTTTGAAAAAAGTATTTTTAAAATATTTCAACACTATTTTGCAGAATTACATGTAGCTGATCAGACAGCACCAGTTAAAAAAACACTTGGCTACATTGAGAGTTTTAGCTTTACTATGGAAGTGTATGAACTATCAGCAAATGGTGCACATATTTGGACAGCGATCAAGTGTGCATTAGTCTACAGTCTTCATTTTTCTTACCAATACTACTATGAATAATTATATGAAAATCCTGCCCAAGTCTGTGCTCAGAGGCAAACTACTCCTGTGGCTGGGGAGAAAGAATACTTCATTGACTGGTGAAGGAAAGACACTGAGTCCATGCTCAGTGATGTATTTTTTTTTCCCTTCCAGGACTCAGCCCTAGTGTTGAAAAGAAAATTTCTGGTCTGAACCCTTGTGAGATCTTAGCACAAATACCATTCTGGAATTAGCAGTGTTGAGCAAAACCAAAAAGGGGTTCTGTACCACCTTTAAAAAAATGAACTCTTTGATATAATATGAAGTAATCCGGAAGCTGCAGCTAGTGCAGAATGTTGCGGCCAGGCTGTTGATGGGTCTTCCTAGTAGGGACCACATCCAGCCTGCGCTGAAAGCGCTGCACTGGCTGCCAATAGCGTACCAGATTCGCTTCAAAGTGCTGGTTCTTACCTTTAAAGCCCTATATGGTCTGGGTCCAGCTTACCTAAGGGACCGCCTTTCCTCATATGTTCCCCCGCGAGCACTACGGTCTGGGACGCAACATCTCCTGGCAATGCCAGGTCCCAAAGCTTTCTCGGTGGCGGCTCCGACCTGGTGGAATGAGCTCCCGGAGGAGATCCAGGCCCTGCGGGACCTTGTATACTTCCGCAGGGCCTGTAAGACGGAGCTCTTCCACCAGGCGTATGAGTAGGAGCCGCCACTACCATCACTACTGTTCCATCTTAACCTGGCCCTGGAAGAGGGAACATCAGTGTTTCCCAGAGCAGATGATGCTGAGTAGGTAGAGCAGTTGCAATAGAGCAGGTGTAATACGCCATCTTGTGGAACATCATGTTAGAACATCTAGAGCACTTTTGTTAATTAATGTTATTGTACTGTAGTGATTTTAAATGGTTTTAAATATGTTTTATATTGGTGTATGCCTCCTGTGAGCCGCCCTGAACCCGCATAGCGGGGAGGGCGGGGTATAAATTGAATAAAATCAAATAAAATAAATAAAAATAAACTTCTAAAATTTCACAGTCTCTCTCTTTGTAGTGTGAAATGGTATGTGGAGAACAGTTACATGCAGTAGACTTGTTATTTTGTTTCTCTTTTTTTCTTCACCCTTGTATACCCTAAAAATAACAGAGTGATTATAGCATTAACTTCATGGTTAGAGCCCATTTCATCAGATGAATGAAGGGTGCCAGCAAATACATATCCACACATGAACAAAGAGGAGAAAAAATTATGAACAGTGGGGCTAAAAGGCCATCAAATACAAAGTACATTCTGGAGACATTTCTCTGGAAAATTCAAAAGAACAAGATAATCACAGTGACCATTCACAACAGCTGTAACAGTTAATACAATTAAAACCATAGTTAAATTCTAGTTCAGAAATTGTTTATATTAATTAAAAATGTATATATCACCTCTCCAGAGACCTGCTTGGGGAAGCTAACAGAAAAATAAAATGCTAAAAAGTTCAAATTAATACAGTAAAACAACTCAATAAAACCCACCAACAATAAAAAAATTCCAGTCTAACAGTCATAAAACCAATACTCGGTTCCATACTCTCTGACACAGATATTCTGGGCACAAGACCTGAGACTGACTCAAGATATGACAGGTGATACGACAAGATATGACAGTCTCCCCCAGGCCCCCAAATTGTGGCGTTATGTTATATGAAGGGAATGATTGAAAACACACATAATTAATTCTAGATAAAGCCAGTGCATACGTAACAAGCTTTTCTGGAAAACAGCTGAGCGTCCTGCAGTCTTGGCCTGGCTCTGTCAAACTGGGCAACTTAACTTTTTTGACCAAACATATTTTAGAAAAAGACCATAAGGTGCAAACATGTATGCATCTACCAAAACTACCATTTATGTACCTACC